CGCCCGCGTGTATTGATGGCTGAATCTACTGATCTAGCCTAAATTGAGAGCCGTGTTTTTCGTTATAGTGGTTTGTACCAATCTACAGCCTCATTTGGTAGTCATTTTACTACAGGACTATGATACAGGGCGTGCATGCTCATGTCTACCGCTGAAGTGAGAGATGCTGTTAAAAAATGTTTATTACCTCGTACAGGCTAAAACTGAAGGAGGTGGAACTATCTTGTTTTTTTTTTCTTCACACAAAGAGCCGACATTTGAAGTTTTCATGCCTCCTTTTATAAAACTATACCCGTGTAGTGAGAAAAAAAAATTATTCTAGCCAACAACGCGACCCTAAAACCACCAAGTTTCATTGCGCGAGCAATGGGACAAACCGGTAAGTTTACGGGTACAAGGTCTGTTTGCTGCAGATCTTAGAAGTGCTGTTTAGAACTTTAGGCATCACACAACAACCCATCATCAGTCCCACAAATGGATAATGCGAACCATCTGGAATCCGCAAATTACCGGGTTACGCTTAGTCATCACACCAATATTAAAGCCAACATATTTGTAACTCACAGAGTGCCTGCTTCTCAGAAATTTCGACGAGCCTGTGAGAAATAGCGCTTACGAAATTAGCAGTCCTAAAGTAAGCCTGTGTGCAGCACAGTCAATCACACGTGGTACATAGAGCGACGTTCAGTTTTCACGACGATTCACCTGAAACTATGCTCTCTACGAATCATTACTAGCAGTTCTGCCGGCAAAACGCTCCAGCATAGCTCCGTCGAAGACACATAACATCTTAGCCGAAAACGCCCATCCAAGGCATAGCTATTCAGCGCGCAATCACCCACGACTTCTAGATAGGCTCCTGGCCTCGGTAAAACTACCCTGCAGCGAACACTGACCCAGTCACTCTGCGACGCGCTTCGTCGCGAGAGCACCACGCCCTGCCGAAAGGAATACCACTTCAAGTCAACCCTGCCAAAAAAAAAAGAAAAAAAACCTCGTAGGCCGGGTAACACACTCACACACGGAAACTTCCCCAAAGAAGCTGTTTCTAAAGTCACACTTAGCTCACTCGACACCGTACCACGCTCGTTCACAACGAACACTGGCACGACAAAAAAATAACGGGACTTTCGAACAAGTTACAGGAATGCATCGCTAGTGACTACACAGTCGTGTCTAAAAACTACATACGGGTACACTCGGTGAATTTACACGGGCGACCACCACTTCTCGTTAGAGGTAACGGGCCAGTGCCCGGCTGACGAAAAAAAAATCTACACTCAAGGGCACTCTGCTATAGTATTTTCTACAGTGGTATAGTACAAGTAAGATGTCAGCTCAGTAACGATGTCAGCAAGTGATATTACAAATAGAGTTAAGAGTGTAACGCTACCTAGTAAGCAAACGAAGACGAGCTGTCGAAACAACGAAAGTGAAAACACTGAAGGCAGATTAGTTTATTAAAGTAACCAATGTTATTCAGCGGTGAACTACGAAAGCGACATAACTAAGCCCATTAAAGAGGATCGAAACGCGAAAAGAACACGGTTGCAAAACCTGATTCAAAGGATTCAAGATCGCGTAGGTATAGCTGGCGAGAAATATTGCTAAGTAGAAGGTTGCCAATCTGAAACAAACCTAAAATTCGACGCTTGTAAGAACCGAATGCCAAAGCAAGTGGTATGGTATATAATCATGTACTGAATTTATATTTTGATTTATGAGCATTCTTTCTCAGGATACCTGCTCACTTGAATACAGCGAAGCGTCATAGAATTTATATATTACAGCCATGCTAAGTTCGCGTTTCGTATAAGCCACGACAGCACGCATCCCACTTAAGAAAAAGCTCAATATTCTATTGCAAAAAAAGGGCGATTACCAAGCAGCGTTACGAAAATTACGAGGGGGGGGGGGGCAACAAAAACAGCGCGGTGATTATGAGGGATAAAAACCTGTACGTGAGACAAAATTTATCTACATACATGCCAAAGATCAGAGAACAAATATTTATGTAATCGGTACTTCGCGCAGAATACGCAACGTGAAGTATAGTTTCTGCACCCTTACAGTGGTACACTTTACTTTTCTAATGTTTTTTTTTTGCTATAAAACACTCAAGGTTTTCAAGCTATTACTAGGCAATACGCCACACTAGTAACCTTTCTGGAAAGCCTTTGTGGACACAGAATCGGGTCCCTACCTAGTTATCCGGAAAAGCCACAGCAGCTGCAGACAACCCTGCACATTTCGAACAAGCGAAACCCGTCCTCACCGGTATTCAACGCAGCCCACAAACGCATCGCCCACAGATACAGCGCCCACAAACACAGCGCCATCACAGACCTCACCGCTCCAAGACAAATCACTTACAGCTCATCTGACCGACGAGATCTTCGTTGCAGCGCCTCCTGCCTGGTGTAAAACGAAGCAGGGAAAAAGCGATCTCATTTCAGGAACATTCGAGTGACCCGAACAGCCGATAAAGTGAAGTTCACAACAGGCAGGAACTCGGAATCTACCTAACAGTTTACTTCTTCACGCAACTCGACGAGCTAGATGAACTGCGAATCACGAGTCCACCACGACATCACGTTCTAAATGTCAAGAGATATGCGGACGCGGAATACCAGAGGATCCACAAAAGGTCTGCACTTAGGCATGCTAAGCCTTTCGTGACACATGAAACAAAAGTAAAATTGCAGAAAACGAAATTTCTGAGCTTGCTCTTTCCTATGAAAATAAAGAAACACAGACACAGATTCAATGTAGGTGACTTTTCTGCAAGCGCCGACCTGAGGTACGAGAAGGATAGCAGCAGTGTTTTTCTATGCGTGATAACAGCTTCCTCTAAAAAGCTACACCAATCGCGATAATTAAGTACAAAGACATAATGAAACAAAACGAAGATTTATAGCAAGCTGCGAAGTCAAGCTCCTGCTTGTCCGATGAGAGGCAACGTGGAAAAATAAACGTCTACTGCTGTCGTATCAAGAGACACCTTTGCCTTGTTTCTCACCTCAGTACAGATAAAGTCAGCGTAAAAGCTGACGCGACAAGAATATCAGGGAGCAAAATTGGAGTAAAAAAAAAAAGTGTTCCTTAAAGCCACCCAGCTTTATCGAAATTGATCTTCAAGCGCCGTGAAAAAGAAGAGCGAGTTCCCAGTGGACCACTAAGAGAAATCGAACCAACTCGAAAACCAAGAGACGTGCCCAAACAGATCTGGATACACGTATGCTTTGCAAGAAAGTGCGGGCGTAAAATCTCAAAAAAACAGAGCCCTTGTTTCAAAACGTGAAGTTCACAACGGATCGACGAAAAATAGAATGCTGAAAAGAAGACCAATCGCTACTGTGCGCGCTTGACGTTTCCAAACTTTTAAACCGATCCAAACTGTAAAGAGGCGCCGTGGTATACATGAAACAGATGATGCTTGAATTCGCGCCAACCTGCTTTTGTCTGAGCTTGAATATATATATATATATATATATATATATATATATATATATATATATATATATATATATATATATATTATAGATAGCTCGGGCAGAAATGACGACCCTTGGCATTAAAATAAAAAAGCGGAAGGCACTCCAGCTTGCCTAAGAAGCTCGGAGTACGTGCGGTCACGTCGCGTTCAGATCCAAGCCCATCAAAAAAAAAAAAAAAAAATCCTCCTCGCAAAGAGCCAAAGAAAGCCGAGGAGTAAAATAACCTTGACGAAATGTGGAAGAAAAAAGGACATCGTGGAAAGAATTGGAGGCGTTAAAGTCGAGGGAGCGTCTGGAAAAGATCAGTGAAGAATTTAGGGTCAATTTTCCTGAGTGCTTCGTAGAATGAAATACTGAAGAAAAACGTTAAATTGAAGAAGAATAATGGAAACAAGTTTTCGTAAGAAGCAGCGATTCGACCTTGACATTCTCCTCTAGTTTTTTTTTGCTTTCATAAACATATCGGGCAAATAATATTAACAATATTAAAGCGCGGTAATGCACGACCCATCGAGAAAGAAAAAAAAAAGACGAAGTGAAGAAATATGACTTTAATCTGCTCGTCCCAAACGGGCAAGTTATTAATCATGGGCTTTATAAAGAAGTCACCCTCAAGAAGAAAAAAAAAAAAAACATCGCGCCGAGTGCTGTGACGCTCGCGTCACGCGCTGGTATATAACATCTACATCGGAACGTTTTTAAAACCCCACCAAAAGCAATGACAACTAGAAAAGACCCGAACCCTAAACCGTAGTTCTGTTTTATTATTATCATTACTTCATTCAAACTAAAACGCAAGGAGTAGGCTATCGGAGAAAAAGAATGTTCAAGACAAAAAATGAATAACAATAAGATACCTTCAAAAGCCCGAGTTTGACAGGCCCTTGAAAATGATGAAGACGCGGGTCGCTCCGCAGAGCCACCAATCGCATGCTTCGGAGATCCCGAAGTTTTTGTTAAACAAAGAAAGCAGATGCCCACATGGTGAAAGGGGGAGGCAGATTAGAAAAAAAAACGTCTAGAAAAACAACGCTTTTGATCTTAGTTAAAACTTGAACTCTTAAAATAAGCGTCTCCGGAAGGCCATTTTGCCGGAAAGGAAGAAGGTGAAGAAGCAGGTTAGCTTTAAAAACAATAACAACGCTTTTAAGTTGCAGTTAGAAACATGAAGACGATGAGATGGACGGCTACGGCTATGACATATGCACGTCCATTTTGGTGGGATCTCTGTGAGCGGTTTTGCAACGTGAGAAGTGCGCAGAAAACGATTCGCGTGTTGCCCAAACGAAATAAGAAGTAACCCAGTTAAAAACGAAGGTGCGAAATACAAAACGAGCGATATGCTGTAATTTAAAAAACATGAAATTAACGGTGACACCTGCTTCACAACACACAACGCGCCGGAAAACAGCGGGTGGACTCACGGGTGGTGCTTTACAATAGTGACCAAACACATACACACAAAAAAACAAGTGCTAGCACAAAAAATAAAACGTAAAAATTAGTAGAAACCAAATTTCATTCAATCACAGCAACAAAACAAGAAAAAAAAGGTAATCTTCGAACGGTGCCGTTAGTAAATAAAAGACAAAATAAACACAACGTGCCCGATAATTGTAAGACTTCGACACGATGGAAATGGCGGTGGGTAAAAACACTAACAAAAGCCCCCAAACACCCATTTTGGTGTTTTCTTATGTTTTTTTTTAGGATCAACGTTTCACTATGACAACTTAAGTCCCCATAAAAAAGCTCGACCCAGCGCAGCCCCAAGACGTAGTTTAGCCCATTGGAGTGCGACTTTAGCACGAAAAGTAAAAATCTACATATTAAGTTGGCAAGCTGTCACTTGTACATTAAACGGCACCTATCCACGCCGCTTCTCATATAAAAGCCAGAATAACCGGGACCAGCTTAACACTATGTTTAAACTTTTTCAGATAACTACAGTGAATTTAGAAGTTATCACGAGAATATAATCTTGTTCAACGTGGCGGTCTAATATGCCTGCGCTCAACTTTTTTTTTTTCATGCGAAAACCGAGACAATCAACGAACTCCCAACGTTAAAATAGTAATTCACGCAAAACAGAAACCTTTAGTATTAACCGTGACAAAATCTATGAAGAAGATCTGAACGTAGATTAACCTGCACATGATCTGCACGCCTACACATGTTCCTGCCCATAGCAAAAAAAAAAAGGACCCCACCGCCGGCACTGCAGTCTATATCACATAATAGACAGGACCTTAGAAAACAAAACAATCACGCCCCATGGCCGAGAAGAAAAAACAGAAAAAAAAAGATGCAGTGCTCATAAAAAGCAAGTGTAAAACACTCGTGAAGCGTGTCTGTTTAGGTCGTGGGTGCGTATCATGTGCAAGTCACGACACACTGAAATTAAAAAAAAATCTGTACAATCCCAAATGAATGATTAAGAAAATAAAAATAATATGACACGCAATCGCACGAGAAATATGAAGACGTTTCGCCAGTAATTTCTTCTTTCCTTTTCCTTCAGTCTATCACCAAAGTCCGCAGGTAGGCAGGCCAGGTGCGTCGAATCACGGACCATCTCCACGATCATCTGTCGATCGCAGCCCTCATCGCATGAAGACAGGAGGTGGGGGAAGGGGGCATCTATTGTGTGTGTTTTGAGTGTTGGTATCCTGATACGCTTCGTATGCCATTCTAATAATTTTATATATTTCTACATCCATATGGAGACCATCGAAGAAGAGTCCACACAGGTTCCTTATCGACTCCATACGTTACGCGCGTATGTACTCCATATGTCTACATGTTGTGTGTAAGAATTTTCCGTAAAATCTTTGCCGTAAAATTTTTACGTAGGAATTTACTTAAACATATCGAATCATTGAACTGGTTTACGAATCGCGTCAGTAGAGTCGTGAAAATCTTTTAAAGGACCGGGCGTGCGGTAAGTGTGTGTGTGAGTCGAGGGTGCGGAGGAAGTGCCGAAGAATAGGGCGCCGAGGAATAGGCCGTTCAACTCTTCATAAGCTTGGCGGCCCTCTCTTGCGCGCCTTTGACGCGAACCACGTTGGAAGTTCCCTGTACGCGAAAAGTAGTGTTGAGGAAGAAGTAAAAAAAAGAGGAAGGTGGGGGATGGGGAGAGAGAAAAGAAACGAAAAAGCAAAATAAATATAAGCAAATAAACATGGAAGCAATAAAACGAGATACAACCGAAATAAAAAAAAAACACTAAACAATCTTCCCGCAAGATGCCTCTGGAGACGGTTTCTAGCACTTAAAAAAATAAGAAATAAGAAAGAAAGCCGCAATTGCAACTGGTTTATGGATTTATATATTGGATGGAATTTATACGGCTGTACCCTTTTAATAGGGTGTCGGCTAACGCCACCTACCCGTAATATTTAGTGAACAAAAACTAGATTTATCTTTTTTCCCCTTTAAATAGTGAAGTTAAGGACTGGTTCTTTGCAGTGAATTATTTAATTTTCACTCGAGCCTGGATTGTAGCCACCAATCAGATAACCTCCTCCTAGTTATAAGTCTATTATGATACCGTTCCACGCTCACTGGTGGCCAGTCCCGAAACCTTCGGACACTGGAGATTTACAGTGCTACGTCACTTGTCTACAAAAAACAACCTGTAAATGTTGTCTACAGAAATGCATTAGGTATCCGCCACGACAATGCATGTCAGTGAGCTGGGAACCTGCAGTTACGCTATACTACAGTAGCGTGAAGCAAATGACTATCATTATGAGCATAAACACTATATATCGCAACTTGTTTTTAAGTACGACAGTGGACAGCGAGAAGGCCAAAGGCGTTTACTGGCGGCATGTGAAACCTACTACAAATGTAGCAGGAAAATCGACACAGCCAGGAAATTATGTGGCGGGTTTCACGGCACTGGTACCTAATTCCCGAAAGAATGTTTCTTCGGGCCAATGATCTATTTCACTTGAAAGACTCCAGCTCGCATAATGATTATTGACGGCGGCGCTTTCTTATTGGCATTGCCGAAGATAAGCGTTAACTGCTGTAAAGGCCTGAACACACGTTCGCGTAGCAGCGCGTGACTTTTTGACGCGGCACCGTGCCCTGTCTATGAAGAGAGAGGGGAGATAGAGCCCTTTCTCCCTATAAGGAGAGAGCTTTTTCATGCGGTGCCGCGCTCTCCCCATAGGGAAAGAGCGCAGCGCCACATGAAGAAGTCACGCGCTGCAACGCGAACCTGTGTTCAGGTCTAAAGGCACGCCTGATGAAAGTGACCCTAAGCCTGAAGGAGACAAGCCTTCAGCCTGCAAGAGCACCGGCCCCAGAGGCATCCTGCGTAGAGACACTAACTACAAGAGTGTCGAGTTTGCGCGGTTTCTATACGAGCACTGGTTGCAAGAGACAAGTGCTATAGAGTAGGGTTGAAGCTAGAGAAACACGCTAAGCATTTTAGGCTAAGAGGCAACATTTTTTCAAAAAAAAAAAAACGGCAGAAATGTCAAGCAGACCACTAACGCTCTAGTTTCGTAGCTACACATGCAGCTTGACTGCATAGACAAAATCCACGGTAGCTTGAAGCTGTATGCTTCCACGAGAACCCCGGAAGTGTTAAATTTAACAATGGAAAACTGATAATGTGGATCACAAGAGCAGACTAATTCTGAGAATGAAGGTATTTAAACTACACATGCAAGATGGCTACACACCAGGTAGCTTCTACAAGACTATTTAAAAAACAAATTTACTAATAACTAGATTACTAACAGAACAAGGCTTACAATGTATAAAAATGAACTAACGATGACGTTATAATAGACAAATACAGGCCAAGTAATCATGCTGAGCACGTGCGTCGCTGACTACTAACCGTGTTTCTAAGTAAAATAACACTGCTACTACTAATACTACTGCTATTAGTGCTACAACAACAACAACAACAACAACAACATTAACTACTACTACTACTACTACTACTACTACTACTACTACTACTACTACTACTACTACTACTACTACTACTACTACTACTACTAATGCTATTACTAAGTGCTAAGGCTTTCTAAGATTTTCCAAGATGCCGGTAGCGATAGTGAGACTTGTCGCTATCGCCAGTGCTCGGTGAAAAGTTTTTCAGCCGCAACCTTTATTTAAGTACAGTGATTGAACCAAGACAGTTAAAATTTGCGATAATCAACGCAGAATCACTAACAAGGAAAAAAAAACCAAGAGAGCAAAAGTTGTGCAAAGTAAAAAGTCAAAAAGACACCAATATATAACAAATTTAACGAACAGAAATAAACGACCACATAACTAAAAAACAAAAAAAAATATCAACAGGAGGGACACATGAACGTAAAAAGAAATAAAACGTCCGCCTAAGAAATGGCGGAGTAGTGAACCGAGTCAGCGTGTTTGGTTATTTCCCCTTGTCTTCGAAGTTCAGTGAACACTTTCATTTTAAGTACGAGCAAGGCCAGCGATGCCATAAAGTTCGCTTGAGCGCACAACCCTTCATAGCTTCTCGTGTTGCAAATTCAACAAGGTTCTCACGACAGCTACATCGTTTTCCACCCCGTAAGATCATTGTCTGCTCGTTTAAAAGCTGCCTGTGCGCTTATGGGGATTGAAAACAACTGTTTTACAGGCAAGCTGGCCTTCATGTAGCAAAAGCCTTAGAGCAATCCTGGACGCCGTCACGAATATTAGGCCGATATGAGTTAACCAGTGGAATCATCACAGAAGAAGGCGAGACTTGTTCGTACTGAGAAGTAGGAATGTTATAGCACGGAATGTCGTTGCAGTGCAAATCGTAAGCACCAACGTGGGCGAGTTTAACTTGGAGACAAAAAAAAAAACAAAAGATGTTGAGAAATAGAGAAGCGAAAACGAACAAAAAAATCAAACAAAGAAATGTCGGGATATTGAAGCCCTGCGCTAATACAAAACAAACTAGCTTGTTGGTGCGCACGCGCCCAAAACACGAGTAAGGACCTGTAAGTGCGTGTGCATAGTGGCATACGAACGTGCCCAAGATGCGCTTCACGGTGCAAGGTGCAGGCAACGTGTGCCCGCATTGTGTAACTTGTAACCACTTGCGTTGCGGCGCAGTTGACAACGTCGTCTGACGCGCCCCAGCCAATGCGCAGTCGACATATGGGGGCTTAGTCAAGAGTCCGGGAGGATTAACATCCAGAGCGGCGACACCAAAGCATAAATAAAAAGCAACGCAGCCGAAGATACGCAGAAACACCCCTCCGTAAGGTGCAATTGTTGCGCAAGAAAGCCGCCGAAGAAACCCAATACGATATTAGTCTTTCGAGGACCAGTCCAGATCCATACGAATCCGTTATTCTTATTAAAAATCCGACTAGTTGCGACTTCATTTGTAAACCTTGAAAAAGAACAGCTTGGCGAGTGAATATGTCTAATGTACTTACTAACAAAATTAGTCTGAAGTGCTTGTTGTCATCTGCAGTCTTTTCATGCATCCGCGTCCCAAGTTATTGAAGATAAATGTTGTTAACAGCACACTTGGGCACGCGGGATAAAGTTCAAGAGGGTACACGACACTGAGGATGTGTTTATGCTACGACAGACAGGAGCAATGAGTAAAGGCCCGTAACCTGGAAAGCACGCTAGCTGGCTTAAAACACATATTCCTTATGCACACTCTTTAAGAGAAGAGGAAAAAAAAGGGAGGGCACCCACTAAAGTAGCTACACTTATAACGCATCCGTTTTTTCTTGTTTTTAAGTGCGCCGCTGGATGAATGTATTGAGGCTCTTGCGTGAGGTCACTGCTTCGCAGCGCTACAAGCCTGATCTGAAGACCCACTGCAGAGGTCGCACTATTCTATTCTTTTCTTCAAAGCCCGTCCTAGTTAAAAGGGGCTTCTCGCTGAACCAGCTGGTTCATTACTCGAGAGAGAATCGCTATGGTGCAACGAGCGCGCATGGTGCGAAGCAGCCGTATTGAAAGGAAGGCTACTATAGCATTCCTAATGAAAAGGGCAAGCAGAGAGTGCGTCAACTAAATTTAGGTGAGAAAGAAGCGATTACTTTTTCAAAAGATATCCCGTAAACATGTAAAACTTAGTCCGTGCGTTGGCATGATTTTACAGCTACGGTCACTTCAGTGCCCGGCGCACGCCCCGCCTCTGTTTTAGTAGCTCATGACGAATTTTTAGTTCTGTACTGTTTCTGTATCTGCAATGAGATGGCACTGTTTGGCGGCCTATATAAATTGAAGCGGTTTCTGTTAACAGACAGTTCAAAGCTGGCGACCATATCTGTTTAAGTACTCACTTCGCCCCATTCTCGATGCACCATGCCAATTTTTTTCTCACGTATAACTCCATGCTTTGATTCAGTCTGCGATAAAGCGACACCCAGACGCGACCCAAATTTATTAGTGTCAACACCTACGCACTAAACATAAAACCTAGCATAAAAATACACAAACTACAAATATTCCTCCGAGACAGCTATAGTTTAGCGTTAGCGTGATAGCGTAGGTTAAGGGAATGGCGTTACCATGGAGCAAACGTTCGTTGTGGGCAGCGTCTTATAGTTTAGCGGGATATCGTTTACTTGGTTTACGTGCCCCAGCTGAGGTGGTGGCGCCACCTATTAGATGGTGAATGAGTTAAACAGTGAAAATGAAGAGAAAATGAGAATGTTTGCCTATGCCACCCCGCCAAGCATTGTTAGAAGTTTATTTTAGTGATAATAAAAGTAAATAAATATGAACCACGCACCAAACGCGAAAACATCTACGTTGCCAATTTGTTTACATCGATCTTGTAGTTAGGCCTAGGCGCGTTCAAAATGAGAAGCCATCTCAAAAACTACGCCAACATTTCCGTAATACTCGGTCATCGAAGCTAACTGAAGGCAAGCGAAGCCACTTTGAACAGTCGTTTGCGGCGGACAAGGCGAATCTTTCAACAACTACGCCAAAATCACTTTGAAGCGGGCGTCCGAGAGCGCCGCCATGTTAACGTACACAACGTACATCTACGCTACCGCGGTAACGTGAAATCTGAAAAACACCGCGCGTACGGGAAGATGTACGGGTGACGTACG